TTATTACACTTTTTGTCGTTGACGCTCTGAGCCTCCCTGCACTGTCACTCCCGTTTCAGAGCGCTATCACAACACAATCAGCGCACATCCTGCTAATGAAACTACTGCACGTCGCATCAGTTGTTGTGCACAGTTTTGTATCATGTTTTTGTGCATTTATGGAGAATGGACGATGTAGGTTAACCATAAGAAGCGTTCGAACAGGGCACGGGAGAGATTGCTAAATTACCGAAACATATGGATGACATTTAAAACCTCTTTAGGCATGTTTTCGATGAGGGAACAGAGTTGAAAAAAGTCTAAAAACAAATCGATTTCGCATAATAGCCCCTCTTTAATGTTGATATTTAACCTTTCAAATGAAAATAAAGCGCTCCATCTGGCACCAGTTGTGTTTGCTGATTGCACGTTAAAGAGCATGTGGTGTGATGAGCGTGGGGAGCTGTGTGTCTGTGCCCGTGAGCAGCTCTTTAGTCTTCATCAGTTTGTTTTTAAAGGTGAAGCGCTGAGTCACCCTCACACCACACGCGCGCTTTAATGTGGGCTAAAGACCGCGGCTCGTTCTGATCGCTTACACGAATACACAAAAAGTAAACAAGAGCCAGAGCTGACGCAGTTGGGATCAGCGTCTCGGCAAACGCTAAAAGATCGACATACAGAATTGTTGTTGTTGTTGAACTGAATTAACCTACAAAGCTGAGAGCTGTTGGTTCTAGGGCTGGACGAAATTAGATAAAAAATAAACTACATTTTTATGGCTTTTTAATATTGGAGGTACTTTTAAAAAACAGTTTCTACCAAATGAAAAACTTGTGTTGCAATTTTTTCGTGCAGCCTTAGTTTGTACACTATTGATTGGTAGTGACTTCTGATTTGATTTTGTTTTATTGAAAAAAAATTCCCGAAATGTTATTGCTTCGTCTGGTTTGGAATATTTCACAGTATGGCATTAAACCTTTCTTCTACAGCTATTCAGCTATTTCAATAACTGAAATATCATGATATCGTGTGGTCAAAGTTGTCACAATAATATCGTGGACCATCACAATATATCGAATCTCAAGTGTCTTTGCTTAAATTAAGAGTTATGGTGCAGCAATAGCTAAAAAAAAAGACAGAGGGAACTACATAGACCATGATCCTTTGCTCCATTTCAGTGCAGACTATAAGAAGAAATAACAGTTCCAAGCACTTTTAAGTCTTAGTTCTTTGGATTAAGTCTCGTTAAGGCATTTGAAGAGGAAAAAGCAGCATATTCACAGTTTTGTTTGCCTCCACAAAATATCACAATAAATATCGTACTGTGAGATGTATATCGTGAAAATATCGTACCAAGAGATTTGGATATTGTTACATTCCTACTTTCTGCCTTCATGAAGACCAAACCAGACCAAGTTACAGGGCAGATCTGCGGAAAGGCGACCCCGCTCACAGTCAGGACGGCTGTTTTTTGAGCTATAAGAACCACCTGTAATCGAATAAATGTAAGGTAGAGCTGTTTAATATCATACTGTGGAATATTCCAGGCAGAGCAATGATATGTCCGTAAAAAACAAGCAGGTGATGAAAAGTTACACACTGCACTAGGGGTGGGCGATATATCGATATTTTAAATATATCAAGATAGTTTTTAAACTCGATATGAATTCTGACATATCGTATATATCGATATAATGCTTATATTAAATTTTGAATTCGCCGCTTCGTTTGTTTGTCTTCTCTCTCGTCGCCTCCACGCGCCCCCGCCTCCCTGATTTTGTTTGTTAGTGTCTCCTTCGCTCCTCACTATCGCCTTGAACGCCGAAAGTTGGTGCCAGTGAAAAGCTTCAAGCACCACAAACCTTTTCCACCATTTACAGACAAGACCATCAGCAGCACATCCTCATATTCCACCGAGTCGCGTCCTTTAGTCCAAAAGAAGCTAAACGAGTTGAGCTGCGTGAGAAGTGCGCTGTTTATGCAAATGAGCCATGCGCTTAAGTTTCGTTTCTGTAAAACGTAAACACACGTGCGCAAAACTGCATTAAACACATTATAATGTCAAAATGGCTGATGTGGCTCTAGAGTCGTTGTCCTTTATATATTGTAAAGTTTAGTAATGTAAAGTTTATTTATGGAGAAGATTTTAATGAATAATCTGCTGCAGTGTCACTTGTACAATAGTGTTTGGAAATGTTGGGTTTAATCTGCAGTGGATTGTGGGAAACCTCAGAGCTCCTTACTGCTGGAACATGGAGCTATTAAAATAAGGAACATCCTGAGTTTCTTCTGCTGAAGGAGCTCATGGTTCTGGTTCTGGTCTGGATAACAGAGTTAATGCAAAGATGAACTTGTCTTGAGTTGTTTTATCTATGAATGAAAAGAAGGAAATATGTATTATTTATTTTATTATACAGTTAAATTATTATTTATGTAATTTGGTTTTTTGTAATCTTAAATGTTCCTATATGAACTGCCGACCTCTTACGCTTCAATAAAAAAAAAGGATCCTGTGGAATTTGGCAGATTTGTTTTTGCGGTTTTCAGTTTTAGGGGATTATTTTTTCTTGAACATATATCGAGATATATATCGTATATCGAGATATAGCAAAATATATCGAGATATATTTTTTTATCCATATCGCCCAGCCCTACACTGCACTTCTACAATGTCTGAACTGTGGCCATTATAATTAGGGATGTGCAAAAATATCAAAATATCGTATCATTTAAAGTTGTAGTGGTAGTAGTTTTTATTTGGTCGTTTTGCAGCACTACAAAACAAAACAAAACAAAACATAGACTTCAACTCCACGGATCGTTTAATGTGATGATACAGTATCGATATCGTGAGCTGCTGTATCGATATATTGTACTTTTTGACAAATTTTGTTAAATTATTTTGTTACAGAGCTACAGTTTTGTGGCTTGTTCAGAGGAAGGAAATTAATTTGACATTTTCACTGTTTTGATGAGTAAAATGTTTGTGTTTCATATGAACTTTCAACAAGAAGTGGTTTAACAAAGAGTTTTAGTATCACAGCCATGAATTAGCCTTTATTTTTCATTGAATCGTATAGAATCGATTTGAAAAATATCGTATTGAGCAGAACGTGCAATGCATCGAGATATGTATCGTATTGGCAACTATTTAATGATACTCAGCCCTAATTATAAATGACTGAAACTTGATTAAACTGTCATTAGTTGCACAGCCCTACGTCCAAACAACGTGGCAGGTTTGTTATTATTTACTCTCTATCGACTCAGCAGAGTTGGGTGTGAGCGTGTGTGTCTGTGTGTCATGTTATGGGGCGACAACAGCTAGAACAGTGAGTTGATTATAGCACTGCGTGCCCTGCCCAGGCCCTGTTCTCCAGCGTGATTACATAAGACAAGCAAATACAAGGGAGCTCCAGGGCACAGGGCTACAGTGGGAGGGAGCTGTGATCACCCCTACACACTAATGTATTTATGAGTTTTGTGTTCAGTCTCTTGGTGATCAGATTACAATGTTTTATTTTATGTATGTAGGCTTGTAACAATAAAAGAAAAATCTCTTTGTTTATGCGATTATGTATTTTTTTAATAAACTTGGTGCAGCAGTAGCTAAAAAATAGAGGGAACTACATAGATCATGATCCTTTGGTGTTGTCAGTGCAGACTACATGAAAAAATAAGTGTTATTAATAAGGGTGTAACGATATCCAAGTCTCACGATACGATATCGTCACGGTATGAACCTCACAGATATTTATTGCGATATCGTGGGAAAGCTCACGATATGGTGGGGAGGCTCATGATTAGAGATGTAACGATATCCAAACCTCTCGGTATGATATTTTCATGATATACATCTCACGGTACGATAATTATTGCGATATTTTGTGGAGGTTAACATACTGAATATGCAACTTTTTCCTCTTAAAATGCCTTGACAAGACTTAATCCAAAGAACTAAGATTCAAAAGTGCTTGGACTGTTATTTCTTCATGCTGTCTACACTGAAATGGAGCAAAGGATCATGGTCTATGTAGTTCCCAGTCTTTTTTTAAGCTATTGCTGCACCGTAACTCTTAATTTAATCAAAGTAATTCCATATATCATGATGGTCCACGATATTATTGTGAGAACTTTGATGATACGATATCACGATATTTTGGTTATTGTTACATCTCTAGTTATTAAGCAGTTTTAAATCTTAATTCTTCATATTATAACAGTACCAAAGGCTTTTCCAAGGCTTTTAAAAAGGAAAAAGTATCATTTTTACAATTTTATTAACCTCCACAAAATATCGGGATAAATATTGAACTGTGAGATGCATATCATGAAAATATCATATTGAGGGATTTTGATACTGTTACATCACAATAATAAGAAATAATGCTTTTTTTTTTATATTCATAATAGGGATGTAACGATATCCAAATCTCTCGGTACGATATTATCACGATATGCATCTCACGGTACGATATTTATTGCGATATTTTGAAGAGGCTGATATAATTGTAGATAGGACACTATTTTGCTTTTAAAATACCCTGACAAGATTTTGGTGTGAATTCAAAGTAAAAAAACAAATAAACAAACAAAAAAGAATTCAAGTAAAAAACTTAAAACTTCATGTTTGCACTGAAATGAATCATGGGATATGTAGTTCCCAATGTTTATAAGCTGTTGATACTATAAAACCATGCATTTAAGCAAAATAACTTGTAATTCGATACTGGTGGGGCTGGATTGTCCGGTCACAAATTCGACCCAACAAGCATGCACTAAACGACCAGAATTATTTTTAAGAAGAATAAACGTGCACATGATCAAGGAATAAATTAATTTTAAAATCGGAATAAATCACCCACTCACTTCGGAATTAAGTTTCATTCCGAATAATCACTTTCATTAGGCATTAAAAATAATCTTTTTAAAGCAGAATAAATTTTTCTTCAGAATTAAATCATTTTTATTCGTAATTAAAGCTTTCTTCTAAACGTGGCAAGTGAGAGGAGAGTACTGACCGCAGATCTTGAGTGGGGCCTCCAGCTCCAGGAGGATGGGCTGGCTCAGGAAGATCTCCCTGGACTTGATGCACAAGCCCCGGACCTCCGCCTCCGTCATCTGCACGATCTTCCCCGGACGACATCCCCGCACTGCAACACAACACCACACACAGTCAGTAAATAACACAACTACACATGACAGTGTTTACATACAACGATGAAAATGTATTGACTTGTGTGTATTCTGACATGGGAGCGAATCATCAACATTCTCTGGGAGTGTGATGTTATGGGGAGGCTCTGCTCTGTCTGAAGCTTCGTTGGATTTTAATCTGAGTTTTGCTTTAACACAATTTTACCAGAAGGAACTGAATTAGTTACTTTTTTGACGAAAATAAAATACCTAAACAGGACCATGAACGCTCAATTTGATCACAGGTTCTTGAAAATGTGTGAGTTTTTTCGTGAATTTTCAGACAATCTAAAAATGTATAAGGCAGTGTTCCCTAATATGTACGGTAAATTGAATCATTGAAAAAAAGATCTCTGTTAGATAAAGAATTTTCAGATTTCCAAACAGCTTCTGGGGCATATTTTATCCTCAAACATTTGCCAGTATTTGCGATTTGTCTCAAAACGCAATTTATTATCTCAGCTAACAAGATCGGGTGTTGACAATTTCTGATAGAGCAAAAGAAAAGCTGTGTAAAGAGCCAATTCATACGCACTCTTGCACTCAAACTTTTAAATTTAAACTCTTTTTTGCCCTTTTTTAATTTGTCCAGTATCAAATGTTGCTCAAATAACATTAGGGACAGGCGATCGGCATTTGGGTATATGCTGATATCAATCTATTTTTGTCAGTATCAGTATCATGTGTATCAAATTTGTCTTATTGAGCAGACTCAGGAGGAAAAATGGAAATAGAAGAGGCATGGGGCTAAAGTATGACTGTACGTTTAACAATCACACAACAAATTACATCACAGATAAATACATGATGATATTTTTACAAAAGTAAAAAGTGAATTTATGATTGTTACTTCATTTTCACATCAGTTTATGGGCCTCGTAATGGATCTAAAAATCTAAGAAATAACAGTCACAGCAGCAGGCCAAATTGGTATCAGCTATAAAAAGAAAAAAAAATATCTGCCCATCCTTTGTGGTAGGGGTGTGACTCTTTAAGTCAATTTGATTGGGATTACTGGGGTCTTGATCCGATTAAAAAACAATTCTTAATTCTAAAACAATTCTAAATTCAATTCTGAAGTTATTTTTCACATTTCAAGTTCCCTGTTATAACAATCTATTATATAAACTCCATATAAAATATAATTGTTCTTAAATCTTATATTTTATTAGAGGCTCTGAGTCTTAAACACATTTAATGCCACACACAGACGTATTCCCGGTTTACTGATGAAGAAAAACACGTGTAAAAACACGTGTGTCAAGTACATTTTAAGGGGCATTTTAGTGTGGCAGAAAACTGTTATTAACGCAGGAGTCTCCAACCGTTTCCTTCTGTGAGCTACCTTTTGTAAAACGAAAATACTAGAGAGCTGGCTCATTTTAGTGGAGTAAATATATGAGTCATGACAAGTTGTAGATGAGGTACAGTTAGATGCCTATAAAACATACACCATTATAAATTTATCAGTGCATTGTTTCTCAAAGACTGGGTTGTGGCCCTCAGGTGGTTTGCAAGAGATTTTTTTTGGGTCATCCTTGTCACAATCTTCATGTAGGTCTGAAATATACAGTTCTGCCTATACGACTGATCTGCTGTTGCACTCTCGTCCTGTAGCCCGGACTGGAACGAGCTACAAAACACAGACAGGCCCACCTATCTCATTAGAAATGTTGAAATGTTAAGACATGTGTTGTATCATTTCTAATCTTTTTGTAATGATTTTATTGACTATTTTGTTCCAATATTGTTGGTTCCATTGAATGTTTAAAAGAAAAAGAAATGGGCTTCATTTAATGTCCAAATAGGCGACTTATGGATCCTTTCATTGCTGCTTCAATGACTGTTTTTCATTGTTTAAAACTTGAGTAATACTAATTGTTCAAAGACGCAATCACTCAGTCAACAATAAAATATCCTCATTAATGTTCAATAATGCTCAAATCCACCTTTATTTTGTGATTTATGAATAATGTCTATTGACTTGGGTCGCAAAGGTTTGTGACGAGAAAAAAAGTTTGGGAAACATTGTACTAGATCACAAAGTTAGGAATCAAAATGTAGAGAAATAGGCATTTAATCAATAAAATCTGAGTTATCTAGCGCAATTCATTAGGGATGTAACAATACCTGAAATATAGTGATATCGTATCTTCAAAGTTCTCACAATAATATCGTGGACCATCACAATAAATCGAATTACAAGTCTCTTTGCTTAAATTAAGAGTTATGGTGCAACAATGGCTAAAAAGAGACAGAGGAACTACATAGACAATGATCCTTTGCTCCATTTTAGTGCAGACTACAAGAAGAAATAACAGTTCTAAGCACTTTTAAGTCTTAGTTCTTTGGGTTAAGTCTTGTCAAGGCATTTGAAGAGGAAAAAGAAGCATTAACAGTTTTGTTTGCCTCCACAAAATATCACAATAAATATCGTACCATGAGATGTATATCGTGAAAATATCGTACTGAGAGATTTGGATATTGTTACATCCCTAATCGTGAGCTTCCCCACCATATTTCCCACCAGCTTTCCCATGATATTGCAATAAATTTCATACCATGAGGTTCATACTGTGACAATATCATATCGTGAGACTTGGATATCGTTACACCCCTACAATTTGTATAATTTAGAATTCCCTTGGCGAGGAGGAGAAGAGCTACTGGTAAGTCCCGAGCTACAGGTTGGAGATTCCTGTATTAACACATTTTAAACAGATTTTTGAGAGTTTGGAATCGATCCAGAACTGTTAAGATGTAGAATCGTGATCCTTTCAACTCCCCTGCTTAATGGACATATTGATTTTTTGTACGCGTGGAGAGAAAAGTAACCGAGTTGGCTGCAGATGCCTCTTCTGCTCCTCACCATACAGTAGCTTCAAAGCGAGATCCTACTGTCGAGCAACAAAACATTAACCATAGATAGGATTGCGTAACTAAAGGTCTTTCTGGAAACCACAAAGGAGCAGGCCTGCCTTTGCAAGACGGTCGGTGACGTCATCAGATGTGAGCGCCGTAAACCAGCCGCGCACAAATCCAGCCGTCAATGATGGAATTATGTAATAAGCATCCATTTGACTGTGCCTTTAAGCAAGACGCCCACAAAGCATTCCTCTGAACAAGAAGAAGCACCATCGATACCGCAAGAAAATAAATACATGGCAGCAACCCAACCTTCTACATTTTACAGAGTGTACTGTGGAAAGTAAAAGGCAGATTGCATTAGTGTTGTCTATTTCAGTACTAAGGAAAAGACTTTATACACAGTGATTTTCTACATTAAATCATAGTACTTTCTTTTCTATTCCCATGTGGTTTTATATCTGTGTCCAGGTTGGTTCCACAGTAGTTCATGGACGTAAACGAGTCTATGTTCTCTTATACTTGTTCTGATTGAGCTCAAGATATTCTCAAGAGGTTCATTTCTTTCCTGTCAATGTGACTTTTTTAGTATCGATTTCAGCTCTAATGAGTATCTAGTTTTATATTAGTATCGATTAGTAGGGATGGGACGAGACATAATTTCCACAAGACGAGACGAGATACGAGACTGGGTCCACGAGAAAGAGACAAGATGACATTTTAATAGAGATGCAACGATATCTAAGTCTCACAATATGATATCGTCACAGTTAGAACCTCATGGTACAATATTTATTGCGATATTGTGGAAAAGCTCACAATATGGTGACGAGGCTCACAATTAGGGATGTGACAAAATCCAAATCTCTCAGTAAGAAATGTTAACAATATATATCTCACGGTACAATATTTATTGCGATATTTTGTTGAGGTTAACAAAACAGTTAATATGCTTTTTCCTCTTAAAATGCCTTGACAAGACTTAAGTCGAAGAACTAAGACTAAAGTGTTAGAACTGTTATTTCTTGTTGTAGTCTGCACTGAAATGGAGCAAAGGATCATGGTCTATGTAGTTCCCTGTGTCTTTTTTAAGCTATTGCTGCACCAAAACTCTTAATTTAAGCAAAGAGACTTGTAATTTGATATATTGAGATGGTCCATGATATTATTGTAAAAACTTTGACGATATGATTGCACGACTTCATTAAACTACAAAGCCGCACCACCCGCAGCGCACGCAAACACACACGGAGCAGACAGTGACCTGCGTATCCTGTGTGTTCTAGAGAGTATTGTATCCTGTGTTATGGAGTGTACTACATCCTGTGCATTACTTAGTGTACTGCATCCTGTGTGTTTTAGTGTACTGTGTCCTGTGTTACAGAGTGTACCGTATTTTCCAGGGCTATTGGGCGCGCTCTTAAACCTCCAACCCCATCAAAAAACGACCGTGCGCCCCACACACGAATCCACTCGGGCACGACTTCAGTAAACTACAAAGCCGCACCACCCACAGCGCACGCAAACACGCACGGAGCAGATAGCGACCGCGCAGCGAAAAACACCAGCGGACACACTCATCACTCCATGCCGACAAGGAAAGGAACGGAGGAACGAACTGAAAAAGCGAGTGCAACGTGCCACTTCTAGACAGAACTGAACAACTGAGTCACTGCGAACACGCCGACAATCCAGCGGTCCCAGACAGCACCCTCCCTACACGCCACAACTCAACAAAGCCCAGAGTCACCGTGAACGCGCCAAACAAAGTCCCACTGACCCATTCAACTGTTGTGTTTCGTTTCAAGTCGGGTGCGGTTTATTTGTGAAAAAAGTTTTAAAATAGACCATTTAACGATGTCTTATAATCCAGAGCGCCTAATAGTGCGGAAAATAAGGTACAGGTCAAATCTGTGGAGAGGCGACCCCACTCACAGTCAGAATCACTGTTTTCTTGGTATTTTTGAGCTATAAAACCACCTGTACTTGAATAAATGTATATTGTGGAACATTTTAAGCAAAGCAATGATGTATTTATAGAAACAAAAAGGTGACGGACCCCCAACCGAAAAGTTACACAGTGAACCTTTAC